CAGGCAGAGCTGCTTGGGAATTATGGTGGAAACTTATGCTTCTTCCTTTCTAAGACACCCCAGACATTTTTTTTCCTCCACAGTATGGTGCTTCCTTAGCTTATCCAGGGATAAAGAACTCCAGGAAATAACATTGTAGCATAACAGTGCAACAACCACCAAAAATAAAGGTTGAAATTTGAGAGCACACATAATTTTATTGCATGATAGAGGAAAGAAACGTGCCTTCCTGCAGAGGTTCTAGACTGATGGCTCTGAATCCCAGAAGCTGAAATTTCCCTTACCACCAGTATGGAGTAATGAATTCTTGAGAGCAGAATAATGTTAAGGTAAGAAATAAACAGTAGGACTGACCGCAAAATCTGCAGGAGTTCAAATATCATTATGATAGTGACTCGTAAATACAAATGTAAGCACTCTCTGTGCACCAGTCTGAGTGCCAACATTTCTCTTTCCCTGACTTAGGAACCAGGCAAAAGCTAGGAAGGGAAATTTCCTTTTCCAGGTAACAGCAGGCACAAAACTTGGAGCCACATAAATAACAGCCTTTTCCTTATGAGATATCAAGAAGAGAAATTGAAGCTCTGCATTTAAAAGGAGGCTAGAAAAGCCTCCTTAAAATCAGAGTTAGACCCTGCGGTGATATAAAACAAGTCTAATTATGAGTCCCGGATTAGAAGCTGTTTGTTGGTTTGACCTCTTCCATAATTTTGGAAATTTTAGAGACCCAGGCACTTGTGGGCACAAGCCAGATACGAAGATTACATTTGGTCCCTGCAACTCGTCAGGATCAAAGGAAGGGGTGGGGGGAGAAGGCACAGAACAGTAGAAATTATGGCCATTGGACTGAAAAAGCATCAGCTGCCTTTGCTTTGGGATCCAGGTATGTTTACTACTGTATATATGGGTTTTATGTTGTGGTTGTCCTTGAAAGCAAACAAACAGTAGACTCCATTTGTGCTAGTACATTGAATACCTGAAAATATAGGGGCTACTTGCTAGATCAGTTTTCTGATCTTTGGAAGTGATTCACTGAAAGGCTTTTGCTGAATTTCATACACATTTCCTATATCGTATGCTGGGTGCTATCAGAATAGTGGGTGTTAGCAGATTTATTTTTCTTTGATTTTGCTTCTCTCTTGGATTGTACAGCTGCTTTCCACACAGTAGAGATCTTCACTGAGGTTCTGGATGTACGGGAAGAATTTAGTTCCACAACTGGTTCTTTAGACTCATACCTTTGCTTTCTGGTAAAGGACTCAAGCAATGTGAATGGTCCTGCCTTTTGATGCAACCTCAGAGGGAAGTTCTAAGTAATTGTTTTTCTGCCCAGTGGGCATTCACATTACTCCTCCTGCTCAATGTGTAAATGGAGGGTTAGTGAAGGGGCACATGTTGAAGTGTTTCCAATATGCTGATGACACACAGCTTTATCCTTTTGTCCAAGCCATAGAACGCAATTGAGCATCTGCCAAAGTGCTTAGTAGCAACTGGGGCATAGATAGCTTTGACCTCTAAAACCCTGTATGGTGTGGAACCTGTTTCCCTGAAAGACACTTTCCTTCACCATGTGATATGGTCAAAGCTGAACTCATTGGAGGCACTAGAATTTGGAAGTCCCTTGGTATATAAGAGAAGGAGCAGCTAGTAGGACATTCTCCTGGAGGACCTCTGAACACCGAGCACAATGGGACCTTGATCTTTAACAGGGGTTCCTTGGTGCCACTGTCATAGGAAAAAAGTGATGATAGACTATCTATTTGGGCAGGTGTTGAGGGAAGGTTTAGATTTTGGAGGCTCAGGCTGAAGTGTGGATTTTTCTGAGGGAGGATGAAGGTTTTGTGCAGAGATGCCTCTGATTTGTTACTGCAGTTTTTGTCTTGCACTGTACTTTTAATGATCTGTCTGGGCTATGTGGCCATTTTTATGTTTACATGTTGAAAATGAAATAAATAAAAATAAATTTTGTTTCAAATATAAAGGGACCTAATCACACTTCTCTCTGAAAACTTGTCGCCTACTGTAGTTATTAATACCTGAGATTACAGAAACTGATAATATTTTATACTCATTCGCTCTGTTTCATTCAGTTTGCTTACCTTATGGATTTGATAGCAAAACTAAACAAAGAGCACTGTTTCCCTTGGATAGTCAGTGAGTACCTCAGTTTCCCCTGTTTGTGGTGGGTTCTTTCACAACAGGCTAGGAAAATATTACTATTGTTTTTTGATGCAAGCAGTTAGCAAATATTCGGGATCTTGTAGGTTGCTTCTGTTAGGAGGAGAAATTCGTGATGGAGTCAGGTATATCTTTGATACAGTCCTATTTATTTACAGCAAATGTATATAAATCTTGTTTCCCAAAACACAGCAAGACTCAAACAGCAGAAGAAAGTGTCTTAGCTCACAATTCCAAGCCTCCTTTCAGCCAGGACTCTACCCAAAAGCTAGCTAGCTAGCACGCGTGTGTGTGTGTGTGTGTGTGTGTGTCAGCATTTTTTCCAGACCATGCTACAAAGGCTTCACTGGCTGTGTCTGAGGTTTCCTTGGTGTTTTTTCTGTGGTGTGTCTCCTACTTCTCTCTCACACACAGCTGCAATCAAATAATTCCCCCACTTCTGCATTTGTTATCAGACTCCCAGGAACCCCTTCAACTGCATGGCCCAGCCACTGTCCAGGTTTGAATGTGATCTAGTCCTCGAGTGCTGGTTTTTCATTGTTTTCGCTATCACGAAACAAAGGGACATTTAATTGGTCCCTTGCTTAGCCTAAATGGAAAGTTTCTGTCACATGCAACAGCTTCAACTAATTAGTGTGATTGTCCAGCCCCAGCATAACCATATTTTTAAAAATAGAAAAATGTGATGGTGAAACAATTAATATTGGCAAGGAGACAGTGTAGGCAGCGTAGCTGAAACTACTTGAAACTCCATTTGAGGAAACTGACTAGAAGTCAAGTTGATCATGCCCCTTTCAGTAATTCAGAAATCACATTTTCTAAAAGACAGAGAGTCCCATACAAGCTGTACCCTGCACTTGGACCTGCCCAGGTCCAGGAAGCTGCACTAAGTCCCTATCTTCTGGGATATTCTAGAAAGCAAACATACTAATTCTGGCAGATAGACAATATTTCAATTCTCTAGTTGATCCAACTTTGTTTATGAATAAAGTTTTATTTGTACAGTTCATTGTTCCATTTCAGTCTCTCAATTCCAGACATTTTACTTGGCCACACCTGTTACACACGTACCCATTTAATCTAAAGCGTTGTAGACTTTTTCTCTTCTATGAGCCTCATGAGTTTCTATATAAAGTGTTTGTTTTACTGAGGAGAGTCACTGCAAGGTATGTCAAGGGGTGTTGGGAATGAGTGAAAAGATGTGATATATGCTCTTTTTGGCTCTCTGCATCACATAGCTGAATAGTTACTGCTTCGTGATTTGTTTTTGGCTTTGGGCCTGGGTATTCTTTTAAAAGAATTGTCATTGATGCCCTCCTCAGACCAGTTAGCTCAAGACTGCTTGCTATCCATAGTTACAAGTGGGCACATGTGTCAAGTGCTTTAGCACAGAGGGCCAGGGGTCACCACATCAGCTCTTTCATTGTAACTCTGCCCTCCTCTTCCTTCAATACAAAATATTTTATCACTTTCTTTCAGATTTTAGCTTCACTGCTGTCTGAATTGTTTGTTATAATAATTAATAATCTCATAAATAAAATTCAGCCAATCTATAGTGGAGCCAGCATCGCACTCTGCTCCTATCTGTCTGTACTGATGGAACTTCTGAGACACGTTTCACGATGTCCATTGGCATCAGTTCACACATGAACAGGAAGCTTCCATGTGAGGAGAAACTGAGAGAGACACTTCCTGGTCAGAGAATTGCAGAGTTTTTTTGCGGAGTGCTTGAGTAGCCAGAATTTTTGCTGAATACAAAAGTAATTTTTCTCTTTTGATTTTTATCTTTGAATACTTGACTACATGGATAACTTAATACTCATAGTTCTCTAATGCTATCAAGTTTTGAGCCTGGATTATCTTCTAAATTGATCTAAACTGTTACACAGTTTTAAAGAAATAAAGCAAGCAGATGCTTATAAGCCTATTAGTCTGAGGTTTCTCCAATGTGCTTGTGGCATCTGCGCAACCTGTGTACACTCCAGTGTCACTTTCTCAGCTGTTCTGTCACAGGGAATCAAATAGCAGCTGTCTAATACCACAGTCTCTCTGTGCTTGCTCTGCGTTTCTAGCAGTAGAATTAATGTACTGACCTGTGCCACAATTTAAAACTGTCTGTGATTTCCTTGCATTGAATAAAAGCTGATGTGCAGTGCAGCATTTTAATGAGTTGGGAAGTGTGCCTTTACAAGCATATTACTAAAGAGGGATTACTTAAGATTAAACAGAATATAGGAACAATTTGCTATGAAGTGAAGTACTGAATAAAAAATCCCAACAATACTAAGTGATAAAATGCCTTTCAAAAGCCTACACAGGATATTTGGATTCCTTTCTTAGTTAATAGGGTCGCTATACATTTTAATGTTTTTGGTAAGAAATCCATTGTCTGGTTCCATTCACAGGGTTTTGTTATATATGTCATACTGTTATATAGTGCTTTATGATGTGCACTGACTCAGAGAAAAAATTATATTACATTTATGCAGCTCATTAATAACTAAAAAATGGGGAGAATAACAAGAAGTTGTACAAGTTGAATATTTAGATCAGCTATTTGCCTGTTTGAAAGCCTTATAATATTTGGATCTATCTGTACAGCATTAGTTTTGAAACTGATTCCAGCTATTTTGATTTGTCTTTTTTCCATTTGCTTATCCAGAGTCAGATGATGTTCACAGAGGCAGCCCTTTACACTTCAGATAATGACAAAAAAGAACAGGCAGCTTAATGCTACCAAACTAGGGGTGTGTCAAATCTCTCTCTCGCTCTCTCAAGAATGATAAACTCAATGGGGTTGTCTATTTTTAACTCCTGTTCTTTCCTTTTGGCAGAGTAATCAGTGTTAGCTGAGCTCTTTTGCTGAATGAATCCCTGTTTGTTGCCTTCTGAAATGACCAGCGCACATAAGTGTATTGAGGCTGTGGTAATGTATGAAGTCCAATTCTGAAACACCATGTCAAATGAAGGCAGCTCTGGTGAGCACCTTTCTACAACAACAGTCAGTTCAGTTGCTGTTCAGGCTGGAGATTCCAGGATTGTTATCGCTATACTTAAGGTAAGACAACATTTGCTAACAGTTATGCTCTTAGCTCTGTGGCTTGGTCTGCATAGTATTTAGTAACAGTCTATTCCAAATTCTACTCATATTAGCATCTATTCAGCATAAAATGTCGACCAGGCAAGTACATTTATTTTATTGCTTAAGTTAGTATGTAGAAAACCTTCTAAGAAGTTCATGCTACTTATAGCATATCACTTTTTTCTTTTTTTACATGAACCAAAACTATTCAGCTAAACTATGTAAGTTCTTAGGGGTCAAGAATATGTCTGAGTCTAAAACGTGGCAGTGTAAATTTAGGGCGCTGTAAAAATGTTAATCATAATACATGTGAACGTCTCTTTAGGGAGTTTAGTCTTTTTTTTTTTTAAATAAATGTATTTATCCACTCTGTTCACTGTACCATTTTCATTCGTGACAAATGCACAAAGAACCATTTCAGTTAGCCACGTCTTGTTCAGAGTGTTAGCTGAAAAAAATACCAATTAAAATTGTAGTCATACTTTAAAAACCAAAAGTTAGTTGCCTTTGTCATATATTTTTAGTAGTAGCTCTTGTGTATGTCCTGGTGTTTATAAAGACCCAAAGGACCATTTCAGCAACTAGTTCCAGCTCACGCAACCTGCATGCAGTTTGGGATGCTAAATTAAGCTGGGGTTTTCAAAGCTGCCTAAGGGAGTTAGACACCAGCCATCAATTGGTATCAGGGCCGGCTCCGGGGTTTTGGCCGCCCCAAGCAGCCAAAACAAACAAACAAAAAAGCCGTGATCGCGATCTGCAGCGGTGGGAGGTCCTTCACTCCCAGGCAAATTGCCGCTGAATACCTGGACGTGCTGCCCCTCTCCGGAGTGGCCGCCCCAAGCACCTGCTTGAGAAGCTGGTGCCTGGAGCCGGCCCTGATTGGAATGCAATGGAAGTTGGGCACCTCACTCCCTTAGATACCTCTAATCTCTCAGGCTGGGATTAGATTAAAGCAGATTAAAGATAGTGACTGTATGTGTACTGACATCAGTGGGGGTCAGATTTTGCATTTAGAACAGCAGAGGGCTTTTTCCTCCCAGGATAAAATTTTCCCTCCTCCTTAGCAGATATAGAAAGACCCATCTGCAGCAGAAGTGTTGCAAGGAAGGGCAGGACTTTGGAGAGGCCACATACTGCCCCCTGTGCACCATGGAACATCTAGTCATGAGTGGCTCTGCAGTTTAGTGGGGATTTGGAAGTGCTGGTGGGCAGGGCCGGCTCCAGGCACCAGCTTCTCAAGCAGGTGCTTGGGGCAGCACGTCCAGGTATTCGGTGGCAATTTGGCGGACGGTCCCTCACTCCGCCTGGGAGTGAAGGACCTCCCGCCGAATTGCCGCCGCAGATCACGATCGCGGCTTTTTTTTGTTTGTTTTGGCTGCTTGGGGTGGCCAAAACCCTGGATCCGGCCCTGATGGTGGGAACAAGCTAGTGGGTTTGCTACTATGCTAATCCACATGGCATTTCTCCCAGCATAGAGATGAAGGCACAGGTGCCTTGGAGTCTACTCCAACCCTGAGGCTGAAGTAGCTGTTATACAGTGGCAGCCCAGCCTGTTGTTCAAGATTCCTGGCTCCTCGTTGTGGAGGCTCACTCCAATACATAGCCTGGTTCATGAGCTATCTGCTGCAAACATGATTGTGGGTTAAGTGCTTAGTAACATTATATATTTATATCAGATGCGTTAAACAAATGAACGTTGCTAGTATCTTCGTATGGGGTTGGAAATCTCTCAATTCAGTAAAAACAAAAGGAGCGATACTTGCAGGATTGGGTTCATCACTTTCTAATGTTTATGTTCCTTTCCTCATTTTCTCCCCCAGCTGTGTAAAGGCCTTTTGGTTGTTCCTTTATAAAAAAAAATCAACCACTTGTTAGAGAAAATGCTGTGATGGATTACTTGGCACTAGCAGAACTCTGGGTGCTGAGGACAGCTGGGTTATGTAAAAATGACAGCCCTCATGTCTGCCTTAATTTGTTTCTGCTGTGAGAGGAATAGGAAATCAGTTCACCATGCCCCTTAGCCGAGAGAGATCTATGCAAACTGCAGCTAAAAATATGTTCTCAATTCCCAGGACAGAGAAGGGAAAAATATTATTTTTAGTCCCTGGTATGATTTTCTTTCCTTTTTAAATACCATCTCGACAACTGTATGGGTAGAGATTGAATGAAGCAAGAATTTGGGGCCTGGGTATGTTGCCTCAAATGACACTTGATTTACTATTTTTTATGGCATCCCATTATTGAAGTTTGTATTCACTGGATTTTGTATACTTTGGGGCCTGATTGTGTAATTGGATACATGTAAGTGGATCCCTGTGCCCATTGGATACAGGGGTCTGCCTGCAAAGATCCATTTGGGCCTTAACTGGTATGTTTTGGGGTAGGGGATTTAAAGAGCCCTTGTGTTTTCTGGATGACACACACTGGGTGTTTGCCTGTGTTTGCATTTTAGTGTGGGAAATGGGTGCAGCTTCAGCTGACTGAGTCAATTCCAAATGTATTAGAAATTGGCAGCAATCAAGATGAGACCAAAAAACTACTACAAGATCATGAACTCCTCCTGGCTAAACTTAAGGTAAGGTGTGTGATATGGACTCATGCAGAGTTTTCTGGTCTCCTTACAGCTCTGATATAGACAATGAGCTTCTAGGTTCACAGGCCTTTTGTTGTGATCTGTTTGTCAGCAAAAGGCCAGAGCGAAAAAACATGTCCAACCTTTGTTATTGTAATGAATGAAAATAAGACACACACAGACACACCCCTCCAATAGTTCTGCAATGGAAAACTAAGTTCACTAGTAATTGTTTTTCTGGCAGAACCAGTAAAAAATAATATTTTCCAACTTTATGCATTATTGTCAAATAAAATAAAAACTAGCAGTACCTGCTAGAGACAGAGGGAATTTCAAGGTTTTCATTTGTTTTGCTGGGCTGAGAGACATTAGAATGGTTCATAACTATGGTAACAACTACAAAAACAATCAAGTGTTTTGTAAATGTGAAATTAACATTCCAGTCACTTTTTTACTGTTATGATTGATGTATGTTAAGGTGGGAATAAGGTGATAACATTCAGCAAGTGATTGGCTTGAGTTGGGAAGATAATAGTTAAATCATAGAGCTATAACCAGTGTTAGGAAATAAAGGGCATTCTTAGGAGCAGAATATTATTCAGGGACATTTCAGAGACAAGAAGGTAGTACAGTAACATACTGTCACATTAAATTATTCCTATTTTGCTGACATGAGACAGCCTAAAATAAACTGAGATGAGCATTCACTTTCCTGATCTGAAGGGATCGATGCATCTTGCATATAGGCTTAAGTAAATGAATTTCTCTAGATTCTTGTGGGTGCCCAAGACCATTGTACTTTGTCAGGTTCCATTCAAGTTTCTTAATGTTATGTATTTTATTAAATTCAGATTTTGTTCATATTTTAAGACAGTGCAAATATGAACTGGAAAAGATGTTTTCTCCTTTTAATATTAGTTTTCAGGTGCTGCACTGCTCATATTAAGGTATGTCTCAACCATATGTGAAGTAATAAAATAAGGTATATGCAGAGTGTAATCTAATATGGTGTATGCAGTGGAATTTGGATATCACGAATGGTAACATTTAAAGAAAAACACATCAAGGGATTAATCCTGCTTTTCTTGACCATCCAAATGTCATATCACCATTGACTTCAATGGGAGTTTTGGGTATTCAGGAAAATGTAGTTTAGTCCAGTCATCCAACCCACATATTTAGAATTAATTAGGAGCTAATATACTGGCATGATAAACTGAATTTCACCCTCCAATAATAAGAAATAATATTAAATCCGAGAAGCAGAAAACATCATAATCCAAAATTCTAGCAAGTGAAAATAAAGTTGAAGATTTTAAACCCCATCTGCCAACACAAACCGACCCGATATTACATATATCATATATTAAATATTTTCATTGCTTGGAATGTCCATCCACAAGAGATCTTATGGATTTCACCTGATATTTACAGTGATAAATGTAAAGAATAAATATGGTCTCTTTGCAGGCAGCAGCATGCCAGCTCTGTACTAAACAAAATCAAGTGCAGCAGTCTCTCTCTCTCTCTCTCTCTCTCTCACTCATATATATCCTGGAGCATCTTTGCAGAAAAGGTCAGCAGCACAATGTCACGATACATTGCTCTCCATGGCTTGTTCCTCCATTAATCCCAGCATGGTCAGTCCCTGTGTACAACAACAATAACTTAAAAAAAAATTTCCCTTGGTGCAGTCTCATTGGATTTTCCAACCCAAAATAGTATTTTTTTTAATTTTATGGGCTTTTGACTATAAAATCTCCACAGATACCTCCATTTTTATTGGGCATGGTAAGCAAAATCGAATAATTATCCAAGAGCATCAGCTATTCTGTGATGTTATCCAAGGTATTTGGCTAGTATTAACTAATATTTCATCCCTCCTACTCTGGGTATATTTGTGTTCCTGGACCCTTTGACTTGTTCTTCACCTGGCTTCGCTCAGCTTGCTTAATGCTCATAATAAATAGTCAAATAATAGAAAAGTGATTCAGTACTATTTTCACATTGTAAACACAGTGAGATTACTCATCTCCTATTTGTGGGGAAAATGTTTGCGGATCCCAAAAGTTCACAAATGCTTATACACCTGAAAATTCGTATTGTAAGTGAGCAATTTCTTGTTTGCCATTCAATATGCATTATAGTCTCCTATTTAAAAAGTCTATCATTCAGTCAGGAAGCAGAAACAGTATCATATGACTTAAGTGACCAATCATATACCACTAATAATGAATAGTGAACAGTCAATTGATCCACACATAGTGACTCTTTTTGTGTAAACACTTGATGAATATTTTGAGTAACAAATATTGTTGCAGAAATCAACATTGAATAGTGAACCATCCACAGGAAAAGGGTAAACTCAAAATAGATATTATTCCCCAGGAATAATTTTGCCAGCTCTAATACATGACCACAAGTCTCATAATTCTGAATGACCCTTCATTCCTTAACAGATGTGAAACTTTCTGCCTGTAGTGAGCTGGTAACACTTATCATGGGTAGATATTTATTTATAAATTACCAGACCATGTCAGCAAAGGTTTGTATGAGACAATGATTCTCAACCTTTGAAGTACTGATTACAATAATTTTTGGCACTTATTATTCATGAATTATACCTTTACTCTGTGAAGATAGATAAAGTCAAAGAGCCAGTAATGTTCCACAGACTTTAACATTTAATTCCAAAAATATAACTTATTTACATGAAGATAAAAAAAGGAAAATTAGAAAAGTGGAACTGTAAGGACAGAAATCCAATTTTTAGATTGTACTTGTCTTTGTAAAATCATGTATGCACAGTTCTTAGTTAGTTCCTTGTTCTTTTTCCTCTCAATGATCACAGTTAACACCATCTGTTTTGGTAATGGAGGGTTATGCAAGCGCATTAACACAATAGTATACCCCTGCTCATTTTTTTCTTCTTCCAATATAGTGTTTTAGCTGTTCTCTCATGAACTATAAAACTGACAAACCCATTGGTTGCGTACTTCCTACTGACTCCAATTTGTTGATATAAAGAAAGTTCACTATAGCCCATAGTCACATATATTTTTGAAGTTTGATAGATCTCGTAGCCTGGAATGTACTATAAATACACTGAACAAGATAATGGCAAAGCTATGGCCTGATGTGCCCTACAGTTCAAACCATTTGAGCCCGAATCTTGTTTAAATCGTGGCAGCATTCTGCATCTCAGATTTTTATTGTTTTAAACTTAATTTTATTTTGTACATAACAGTAGAAATAACATAGAAAATAATCTAATAAAAATACATTAATAGTAAATCAATAATATCCCTAAAATCCATGAAAACACAGGCACTTGAAGGATACATAGCTAAAGTTCTCATAATTCAAAACACTGTGCATTTTATCATATATTATGTTGAGGTTATGTGAGGTTATATCAGGTTCTACAGATGAACTGTTGTTCAAACTGTCAACTTGTAGACGTTTTTGAAAGTTACAGAGTAGCAAAAGGAAAAAGCGGAAAAACAAACCAAAAAATATTTTACTGCATACAGTAAACAAGAAAAAAGATAAAAAGGGAAAAATGAAGAGTTAAATTTTGACTTTGACTTTTTTAAAAACATGTTATGAAAAAAAAAATCCTTTCATACTCCATGAAATGAAAATAACTTTGCATTTTTTGTGAATTTTTTTCCCGTTTTTGACCAAATCTACTTACATTTTTATGTAACACTGTGAGATTGTTTTGAATGGTCTTTGCATTACATTCTTAAAGAATTTGTTTCACTAGATTTAATAGGTCTTTGTTCATGTTAATTATAAATGTGGTTTTATTTTTTCTATTTTCTCTGTTATTACTGCTGTTCTATTAAATTGGATATTTTAAAACTTTTCAATAAAAATCGCACTTCCACATACTAAGCTAAAGGACCTGATCCTACAAACACTTAAATGGGTGCTTCATGAGTAGCAGGGCCGGCTCCAGGGTTTTGGCTGCCCCAAGCAGCCAAAAAAAAAAAAAAAAAAGTCGCGATCTGCAGCAGCAATTCGGCGGAAGGTCCTTCGTTCCGAGCGGGAGTGAGGGACCGTCTGCCGAATTGCCGCCGAATAGCTGGACCTGCCGCCCCTCTCCTGAGTGGCCGCCCCAAGCACCTGCTTGCCAAGCTGGTGCCTGGAGCCGGCCCTGATGAGTAGTCCCATTGAAATGAAAGATAAGCGCATGTGTAAACGAGTGCAGGATGGGACCCAACGCCCCAATCTGGCAAAGATTTAAGCACCTGCTTAATGTTAAGTACCTGAGTCATCCCACCTGTTTAAGTCTTTGCAGGATTGGGATCTAACGATCTGTGCAGTATTTGCAGATAGATTTTTGAATATGGATGTGACCACGCTGGCAAATAAATAGCTGGTGTGTTTTTATTTCTAACTGTGCTGAAATCGCTGCCTGAGATTTGAACATCATGCTGTTTGATTTTAGTATCTTTCCTCCCATGATTTGTGCATTGTTAGTCTTAACAAAGATACTGCAAGCCGTATTCTTCCCTCAGTTACATGTGTGGTGGGGTTTCATAGGTGTAACTATGAACAGAATTTGGCATTGCCACTGAAACTCAGTTTACAATACTTTTGATGATTCATGAACAGTTATACAATCCAGTTTGCTGTTCCAGAGACATACTGGCTCTGCAAAGCTAACAGGAGTTAAAAAAATAACACCAACCTATTTGTCACTAATGTAAACAGATAAGACTCAAGACACTGAGGAAGCTTGAAAGTTTGGATTTTTTTTTATATATATATCAACTTTTCTAACTATAACCAGCAGAGTCATTTTTCTAACTATAAATCATACAGTAAAAATAATCATTTGTATATTTTAAAACGTATTAGACAAAAATTATCCAAATAGGTTTCCTTTGATGGACCATATTGGGCCATATTCACTGCTGGTATAAATTGGCACAGCTCCACTGAAGCTAAGAATGTGGCCCAATAGTATGTTACACTGAAAAACTTGAGTACAG